ATAAATTTAAATCATTATAAATATTAAAAGGATAAAAATAGGATATAAAATACATTACAATTTTTTGTAATATAAAATGAAGGGCAAAACGGGAATAATGAATTGCATTAAACTTTATACCAAATGAACAGTATTACAGGTATCATTACTCTACATGAAAAAGGAGAGAGAGACAGAGAGAAAATAAAGTACGTCATCAATTTGTAAATCATTCTTTATATTATTATATACAAGTAACCTTACCCTACATGAAATTAGTAAGGTAGAAGTTGGTGAAAGGGGTAGAAGGTTAGGTAAGACCGTAAGAGTTGGTGATGTGTGGTGGAGTGGGGTGGGGTGGGTGCGATTCAAACAAATGCGACACGTGAGATTCAAATGCACTTGAAGTTTTGTTTCATTTTTTTTTTTTAATAACCCTTTTAACTATTTTTGAGTAAATAAATAAAAGGCGGTCGGAATTAACACTAAAATACAAGCCACTTCAATGTCTTCATAAGAAAAGTTTCAATGATACGATCCTATATGCATATGTAGTATAACGTCTACTTAAATTATGAAATTTCGAACCTCAAGTCAGTCAAATTGCAACACCTCGATGTCCAAAGTGTTATGAGAGATATAAAATGGGTATGTAATGCGATAACTCATCGAGCTTTAAGCTTCACATGCGATTTTACTGGACAGTGGTACCACATAGGCATATATGACCGTTTTTCAAAAACTTCTCTTATAAATAGGGATAATAGAGGATGCTAAGCAACAAGATTGCGTTTGCCAAATCTCGGATACGGTTGCAATTGCTACAATTGCAGATATCAAGACTAAAATAAGGCAAGCTTACAAAAGTATTTGAATGCAATAATTGTTACAGAGTTGATAGCATATAGGGAAGCACAACACAAGAATCCGAGTAGTTACTATCCATGTAATGTGCTTCAAAAAGAAAACACGTGTTACATAAGTGGACGTTTAAACATTGAAAAATCATAATAAACTTTTACAAATAAAAGGTTATTTTATAGCTTAAAAGAAACATTGCGAAGTATTTGTTATGAATGGACTGATATTCAAACTAACCAACCAATCAATTCAAACTGATTTGTTTTGGTTTGGTTTGGTTTGGTTTGATTTGATTTCAAAGGTTATATTGGGTCAATATGAGTTGGAATTTACTTAAACTGATCAAGTCGATTTTAGTTTCGAGTTGAGCTCGAAATCAACACAATCTGAATCGAGCTCGAACCTATTTTTCGAGATAATGATATCCACTATTTAGCATCAATAGTACTATAACACCACTCATGTATCGTTAAATGATACGCTCAATTAATTGTAGACAATTGTTGAGTCATTTAAATACCTATCATTTAGCTCATATTTGCTTCCCATTTCTAAAAACTCATTTCTTTCTTAAACTCATTTTCAATCATATATTACCCTTTATTTGATGCAGATTAAAATTAGATTTTACTAGAAAAAAAAGGTTCATGAAATGTGTGTTTGAAAAATTGTAGACTCCATAAAAGGTGTAATTAAAATTAATTGTTGACTTGAACTTGAAATTAAAATCAGATTTTAATCAGAAAGAAACATGGGCTTAATAGGATCCACAATTTTTATCAACATTTCAACCACAAAGTTAACCAAACTTTATTGAAATCTACTAAAATAAAAAAAAAAAAAAAAAAGGTTTTTATCCAAACCAAATAGGGGATTAATATCACTAAGTGCCGTCTAAATGATTGTCATTAACATCAATATTGTTAAATTACATTACTCCTTTTTTTCTCATCGCGCAAACATTTTTAGAAGACATGACACTTTTGTACAATCAATAATCTCAATTCTCTAAGACACGTTGCATTAACTTTTATTAAATTTATTAAAATCTAATT